AGGCCGCTGGAGGGAATCACTTCCTCCTATTTTACCGATGGATATATCCCTCGATAATTAATAGTTCATTTACCGACGGATATATCCGTCGGTAAAACCAAATTTCACAACTATCTTAAATCCGTCTGTAATTTACGTCGGTAATTACTCATTTTCCTATAGCTCTAGATCCGTCGGTAAATATCCCTCAGTAAATCAGAAATTTCTTATAGTGTAAGTATAATTAAATATTTGCTATTCAAATTAAACAACTATAGACATTTTAATATATAATTATGGATAACGTTTGTCTAATATTAAAATATATAATATAAATAGATAAAGATAAGAATAAATTTGATGTTCATACATAAAATTGTATTACTTTAAAATATTAAAACAACTAATAAAATTATATTACTTTAAAAGATTAATACAATTTAATATTAGTTATTCTCAAATTAAGTAACTAAACCATATTTGAATAATTATGTATATGGTTTGTTCAATGGTATATTTTCAAAATAAATAGGTAATCATGTAACATTTACTTCCTCAAGTTTATGGGAAGAACCAAGTAAATGATAATAAGTTTGATGTTCATATACATTAGTCACATAAATGCACAATTGTGTTATTTTGAGATAATAATGCTAAAAAACTATAGGACATTTCAAAATAGCATATGTAATCATACATTTTCATGCAAATAATAGTTTGTGTAACATCAACTTTATGAAGTTATGAAAAACACACAAATAAAAACAAGTTTAAATGTGATGTGTTCTTATGTTAATTACATAACTGGATAAAATTGTGTTATTTTAAGAGAATAATGTAGAACATGTAGTACATATTAAAAGTTAAATATGTGATTCATTGTGACATGTTTGAGAGTATAATGTAGAATATTTGTAGTACATTTACTCCACATATTTCCAAACATGGTAACATCACATTCCTAAAGTTTATGGAAAGATGACAAATAGATACCAGAATGAATTTAGTGATTGTATGTTATTAGGTCACTAAATCTAATTACTAATTCTCTTAATTAGATCTCCAAATGTACAATAACTGTTGTTATAAACATGTTAGGTCAACTCTAATCTTAAAAAAAATAAAATTAAAATAAACCAGAGGCCTCTAACAAAAACCTAATTTATTTTTGTATCTATTATTCTTCTTCCTATAAAACTATGAGAAAGATGATATATTACTTATTTAAAAATGTCTCATGCAGAATGAAATATGTCTAGTAATTGCTGCTATATTATTATCTCGAAGTAGCACACTTTTATGTGTTTACATGAGTATTGAACAAAATTTATTATTAGATAATTTTGTACCCTTTTGCATCAATTATAATTGATGGTAACATCATTCATTTTTTTTTATTCTTCACTATTTAAAATAATTCTAAGTTTTGGTTCAACTGATTGACTAAAAATCAATATTATTACTTTAATATAATCCCAATTAGTATTAAGAATGAGAAGGAAAATTAGTATTTATATATAGTGATTATTTATCATCACTGAGTTTCAATACCAGTTATACGATGTTTAAGATTAAAGACACGCTTGAATAAATAATATAATAAATGTTCATTAAATATATAAATAATATTTATGATATTATGTTGTCTTATAATTAAAACGAAATGAAAGGATAAAAATACTTTGACAACTATTCATCTTTATTTTTAATCATAAATTAACTTATTATATATTATTATCATAATATTAATATAATATAATTGTATAAAGGTTCTATTTTTTTCTTAGTTGTTCATATATCATTGTTTTAAATAAATAAAAATAAGATATGGCAAATTCTGAAGATTTTAATAAAAGATAAGTGTAGACCATTTATAATTTATTACAAAATCATTATACAATTTGGTCTAAATTTCTCTTATTAACCATTTTTGTACTTAAAAAATATGATTGCTGAAAAATAAAACATAGGTTTTTTTCTTAAAAATAAGTATTTTTATGCTGATGTTAACTTGGATGAAACTCAAGATTAGTGTGACTGTAAATGAAAGTCAAGTTTCATGGGTCATGGACTATATTAGAATGGGTTATATTACAGGAGAGAGAAAGAGAGGAGAGAGAGACGGAAAGAAGCAGGTGAAGATGGTCAAGAAGTGAAATGATGAATTTGGCGAGATCGTGGAGATTGTCTTGTCGGGTTTGAATGCCCTTGCTCCAAAATCCAGATCCAGTGGAAGAAGACAAATCTGTGACAAAGACGAAAGCGTTGTTCTCCTTCTTAGGTTGTGGAAGGTGAAAGAAAGAGAGATAAATAGACGGGGGTTCTTATCTACGAGAAGAATAAGGGTGCGTTGTTTTAGCTTGCTGTGCCCTGATGCATGATGATGTTTTGCATGTCCGGGGCAAGTTTTGTACGATGCTTTTCCTCGACGTTCAACACGTATATACACATAGCTTCTACGATGATGTTTTTATATAGCATACGTAGAATCCGAAGGAAAACCAAGAAACATAAAAATACAAGAATATAAAATGATCAAGAAAACAAGAATACTGACGGTGTTTATGTTTGTGGTCACACATATGATTGCTTGCAGTAGGGTAGTGGGGAGAACTATCAAGTGATCAAAGATGGTGGGGCCAGAAGTTTCGGTGTAGGAATCATGAGAAGTTGAGAACAGAGTTTATCTGGCATGTCGATAAATGCGTATGTCATGAGTTTCTTGCAGTTTTGTAAGTTGTAAAATGACAGTTTGAGCCACCAGCAGAGTTCAACAAAAAGGGGAGTTTCTATCTGCAACTGTCACGTTAATCACGCAGCTTCATGTCAATGTTTTTAATTTATCTTTCTTGCCGTGACCCATGAGTCATTCAACCCTCATATAGAAATAAACCATTACAGAAGATATGTTTACTTGTGTGGCCTCTGATTCTAAGTACTTCATACGTTCATGCACAAATATGTACGAGACATGTTAGTTATATGCAGCAAATTGATTCATCTTTTACACAAAAGGGTATAAAATATTATATAAAATGAAATGTGTGATAAATGATTAATGTGACAGAGATAAAGGGAAAATGTTATATAAAATATTACATGCACGTATATGCATTCTAATCAAAATATAAAATTTAATCAATAATAAAGGTTTTACAGAAATTTATATGAAGTTTAACTAGTAACAATATATTACAAAAGTAAGTTTAATATAAGAAAAAGGAATTTTTAATCAGAAAGGAAGTGTACGGAGAATTAATAAATTGTAAAAGGTAGAAAAAAGAAAAAGTCGCTTATGGAGATTCAAGGAGGGAATATATTTGTTTTGATGGAGGAAAAGAGAGTTTGGAAACAAAGTAAGCTTTCCTACAGAATCATGAGGAAAGGGAATGTTGCCTTATTATATATTAGCTTGTCTAAACTATTGATCAAGGCTTCTCGTATTTTAGTTGTTTTTTTATTTAATTTACAATTGATCAAATGAGGACACAATCTCAATAACATGTATGGAACATGACGTTAACGAATCCCAATACTATATCAACGAGACTCAGCCAAAAAATTAATCAGAAAATTAAACCCACGTGTACAACTTTATATGTGGAAACATAGATGTATTACACAACTTTGAGAGACAATTTTAACTAAATAATGTTAGACACATAATCTATGTTATGATGAATGAAGGGATAAAAAAAAAACAATGTCAATTTAGTCTTTTAAGCATTTGTGGGGTCTGTTTTTTCCCCCTCAAATAGTGAAAGTAAGAAATAAAGATGACAGACCGGAAGCAAGGAAAAGCAATTCTTCAATTCCTACTTTGTTTTGCTTTCTCTTTCCCATTCTATGACATGATGCAGAGTTGCAATGAGAGTTGATGTTCAGTGGCATTTAGCACGGATTTGAGGGCTCACTCTCCGAAAATCATAAAGCTACTAAACAAAAAAAAACCGAACCCTAATCTTTAGATGCCACATTTTTCTCTCTCTAGCTCATTCAAACTATTGACAGTGTTTCATTAAACATACTTTCAAAACGCTTTTTCAGACACCAAATCACACCACACTGTAACTAATTATTGCAAGAGCCAAAGTAACAGAGAAATATAGAGGAAAATTAATTTTATGTATATACTTAGAGAGAGTGCAGACACAGAGCCTTGATATTGCAAACTAATTAACCATAGTAAAAGTTATGGTCAGTCTCACTGCCACTATGTTGTGTTTTATTTTATGCATTTTAGTAACTGAAGGAACCTGAGAGTCAGCTCTCCGATAATGGACTCAGAGAGACACGCTAAGACAGTGGTCATGAGTTGGTTCTTCTGTGATTACGTAGAGAATAGAGAGAAGATTAAAGTAGCATAGCATTAGAGTTCCGCCAATATCAATCAACAAAAATCCAAAAAGCTATCACATATCCCACCAAAAATACCGAGGAAAATGGTAATCTTATCACCGACCTCTTGAGAAGAATAATATGTAAGGACAAAACTACAGTTAATAAAATTGATCAATACCGGACTTCAATTTAATTCTTTTACAAACAATTGATTTTATTGTGAGCTCAGTCTCAATCATCTAGAAACAAATTAATACTAGCCCCATTTCTAGCTATTCTGTTGAAGTGTATCCGATGTGTACATGTTAAGCCATTGTTGATGAAGGTAGAGACTATCAGGACGCGTATTAACTGACAAATATTAATGAACAATAAACTGAGACAATTATATTGAACAACAACTATTTCAATTGATGAGTATATATATGAACACATAGTTATCTTCTTAATTCTTAAATTTAACTATCTTTTCTCCTACAAATAATATGATATGATATTATATGATGACTTGAACCAAGCATTGAAAAGAAAACTAACTAATTAAGCAATAAAAACATGAAACTAAGGGATTTTAGACAATTATAGATTTGTCCTATCTATTAATTATATCTTCTTCCTCTTCTTTGCAACATTAAGAAAAGCTTGCTCTACCTCCATATCTAAGTCCAGCTCAGTCAAATCTAGGGCAAAGCGCTGTATGGTTGCTGCTGCAAATCCCCCCAGGCAAGGGCACCACTCCAGTTGTTGTGTGCACCGTTGTTAATGTGGTTAACATTGACACCACCATTGCTTGTTGAAGGAGACACTGAAGAAAAGGAATTCCCAAAAAACCATTCAGTGGAAGCTGCAGTAACTGTCTCCCCACTTGGGCCTCCATTTATGGAACTGCCAGCTGGCAAATTCTCTGGCTTCGAAATCGCAAGGTTCTGAAACGAAACGGGTTGTAGCAGTTTCTGATTCTCATACCCATTCGGCGCAACGCTGCTCTCACCTTTCTGGCTGTCCCCACCAAACATCATTGTCGTCATCCGCTGCTGCTGCAGCTTCAGGTGCAAGTCCTGGTTGATGTTGCTCAGCGACTCAATTGAAGAGGCAAGGCTGCTGTGAACGTTCATGGTTTCCATAGTCTGCAGCGTTTGCATTGCACTGTTCAATGGATCAGACAGTGAGGCCCTTTCTGACCGACCTAACCCCCAGAGGTCAGGGTTGGGCGGAACAAGACCCAAGAGAGGGTTTGAAACAGCACCAGGGGGGTCAAGTTGGAAGGAAGACAAAACAGAAAGAGAACTGGTTGAAGCCGATGAAACGTCCCCAAAAGAAGAGAACTGGTTGAACACCCCAGTAGGGGGTGTCGGAAGGTGTTGAGTGCTGAAAGTGCTGAGCCTCGAGGGAAAGGGTAACGCGCTGAGGTTAAAGTCAGCAGAAGGTGGGCCTGTGAGACCGTGAAAATTGAAGTCTTTGGGGTCACACGAAAATCTGGAGGAGGATGACGCAGAGGAAGAAGGTTTCACCTTTTTGTTCTTCCTGCAACCACCTCCTATTGGAACGTTGCGCAAGGCACCACCGTTTGTCCAGTACCTCCTGCAAGTCTTGCAGAAGTGCCTGGGCTGAGTGAGGCTGTAGTTGTTATAGTAGCAGAACTTGGTGTTGGGTGAGTCACATCTTGGACACTTCACACCTTGTTCAGGTGCTGGCCTCGTCATTTTGCGGCCCTCAGTTACCTCATGGTCTTTCTGTGTTGGTGGTATGCCTTCTGGTGGTGGCACCATTGAAGGAAGAGAGAGAAAAAGAAAGATATATATTTATATAGAGAGAGAGGAGAGGAGAGGAGAGGGGGTGAAGGGTGAGAGGTGGGAAAGGTTAGATGAGTTTGGGTTTCAATTGAATGATTTCATGCAGGCTGGAAGAAGAAGAGGGGCTTGAATCATGATGGGGGCTTGTGATAGTCATCAAAGAGGGGGATTGAGAATTGGTAGATGGAAGGATGAATGATATGTGTGTGTGAATGAGGTGGGTGAAGTGGGCTTTTAAAGGTATCAGGAAATAGAGATAGGTATACGTTTTGACAAATGTATATGCAAGGGAGGAGACAGATCTCACTAGAAAGAGGATATCGTGTATATTAGGAGAGAGAGTGATGGAGATTTAGAGAGAGAAAGTAAACTGGAGAAACGTAGGCATATGATGCAAACTGTTATGGCAGTATAATGAGATCTACCACTCCAACCATTAGCAGAAATTAGGCACAACTTAAGCTGTTCTTCATACGGTCATTTTAATGATGAGAGACGTGTATTGGGATTTGTTGAATAATATCAAGAAAATTGTTACTTTCTCCCACTGTTTTTCTAATACCATTTTTTTTTTCTTTCTTCTCCATACCACTAATTTTATTAGGAAAATTTGCTGTAAAGATGGTATTTCACAAACACTAATCATTGTAGTCAGCTAAACATTACTGGTAAAAAAAAAAAAAGCTTCTTAACTTAACCAAATGTTAATTAGCAGCTGTTTTAACAACATTAATTAGGAGATAGACAACAGATTTACTAATTGAGATAAGAATGTAATAATACTCCAATGTAATCATTTAATAAAATATTCTATTTATTAAATTTTTTAATATGTGTATTAATTAACATAGGCCATTTAATTAATATGTGAAACAAAAATATTCATTTTAATAGTTTTTATACTTCAAAGAAATTAAATTATATTTCTCAACGGCAGACATTCAGTAGTGTATCTTCACATATAGCCTAAGTACATCAATAGGTGTAAGTAATTTTTAGTTACCATTATTTAATAATAATTTTTATATATTAAATCATGATTTTTCTTGACAATGTAATAAAATTTTTAGATGAAAATTAAACCATCTAAAAGTAGAATAAATGAAATTAAAAACGCGTATTTGGATAATAGGAAAAAAAACGCGCCTAAATAATTGAATCTAACACAACATATTTTCTGTCCTTTTAATGAATATATAAACTGTAAGTAAATCTATAAAACCTGTGTTTTACATCTTTTTTTATGAATATAACGTAAAAATCAATCAAGACATGCGTTTTTAAATTGAAAACTACACATTATAAGGCATTCCAAGTTCCAAATTATAATAAATATATTCAGTTTTATACTTATATAGTAACGCAGCTTTTTCTCAGGACTCAACTAGATGGATAAAATAAAATAAAATAAAAAAAAAAACTTTTTCATCTCTCTCCAAGACATATGTCTAACAAACTTTTTGGTCGTCATAGATGCCCTTACTTTCTCCTTAAAGTTGCTTATACCTTGATTTAGACCCTTTTTGTTTCAATATAATTGGCAAATTTTGAGCCACAAATGTTTCGTGTGGACCAAAAATATCATTCTTAGGCACTTTAAATATTGTTGAAAATCAATGTTTTCGCTTTAATAATCTATAATTAAAACTTGAAGAGTACCAAGAGCAACTCAACTTTTACCAATCCATATAAAGTATCAAATATTTGGTGATGTTTTTTATTACACCATCCATTTTATTTCTTCTCCATAAATTTCTTTTTATTATTTTGACATTTAATGCATTTATTTACTTAACTCATATCTATGTTCCTTTCTATCTTTATTATCATACAATTCATAGTATTTATTACATTCTTTTTTTCTTTCTTACTTTTCTTTAATCCTGTCACACTCCTCTAAAATGAATTTCTTTTGAAGATTTATAAACCTTATTAGCGTTTGAAACTAATTTCTTTTGAAAGAGGACATAAGAACATTTATGAAAATTGTAACATAAAATTATTAACTGAAAGAGATGAAAGAAATGGTATTATATAAACATATAATAAAAATGAGAAAGGTTTTAATTAGTAATACAAATTGTAACTTTTAAGTGAATAGGGTTGTGTCTGTACACTGGGTACTCTGTACACTGCCAGCAACTTGTCTATGTCTTTCCTTGAAACGTCCCTTTAGAAGTAAAGATTACTTTCTAAGTTACTTTGAAGAGCCCGAAAAAGCTTACACGTGTGATACTTCCCTACCCCATTAACCTAGACTACCTCATCTCACATCATTAACTTTAGTTAATTGTCGTTGCAAATGCACCTCCTTTATCAATCAATCATACATGCTCACTACCTCAACCCCTTTTCTTTCTCACTCAATCCAACAACAGATTCGGCCAAAATAATACGAGTTTTATAAAGTTTTGCTATGCTACAAACAGAAACCTCATTGATTGACCTCATAGTTCCCCCGTTATGCTTTTACAACTAGGAAATCATGCATGTATCCATAATAAAATATAATCAACAAAATTCATTTCCTAATCAATAATAATAATAATAAAAATAATATTTTACCACTTTCTCTTGTTTTGATTTATTTTAAGAAATGTTTTTTATCACCTTCTTCTCAAATTGAAAAAAATATTTTTTATTTGTTTTTAATATATTATTAAATTTTTAATTATAATATACATCATTAAATTTGTTTCTATATTTGAGTCTGACAAAATGTACAAATGTAAAAGGTCCTGCAAGTGCAAAGATACCCTATCTATAATAACACCTGATCAACCATAATCTGTCTCTTTTCTTGTAGCTTACTTGATACTACCTTTCTGGGAACCAGGAAGAAGAACCATGACATACTTACTTTGAGATCACCATGCATGCATGCATGCATCAGTCCTTCACCTGCCATGTTATATATTTTCAGTAGCACAATTCTTGAGAACTGCTCATATAGATGATTTATTATTTATCCGCATTAGAAAATTAAATATCTAAGTTTAATAAGGTGGGTGAGGAAAAATATACAATGATAAATGTGTTTAGTAAATTGGTGAATGAAATAATCGATAAGTGATACATACATTTTTTTTTACAATTTTTTAATAAATTTTAGAGAATAAAAATAACAAAAATTATAATTAATTTTATAAATAAGTTAATACATAAAATTATCTTATATAGTTTAAAAAATATATTTAAATTTGTATATAACATGCTTTAAATATACATTGGATAAGACCGGTTAATATAAAAATATTTTAAAATATAAACATATTTCTTTATATAATTATGTACATCATTACATAAAATATTTTTTCACAGACCTAAATACAATATAGGGATTAATTTATTAAAAAAAAAATCATCCTCTCCATGTTAGATCCAAGATCATCATTCTCACCTTCATCACGTATGAAAAATAATAACGTAATACATGAGAAAAGCTAGTTATTATAAGAGAACAGTTACATTTAAATTTAGTTATAAATAAAATTGAATATTTTGACTAGAGCCTTTATGTGATTTTGTTCGGTCTCAAATAAATATCGTTTTGTCTAGTGTTGAAAGATGTGAATTGAGTGTGCAATACAGACAAAAGAAAATAAAAATGAAACTGCTGAGATGAGGTGATTAGTACGTGGACCACAAACAAACAGCGATCGTAATGTGAAGTTGAGTTCGCAAGACGATAGGTAAACATAAAAAACGGAAGCACCGACCAAAGCTTGTGGGTTTGAAGAAACGTGCAGCACCTTATAAAACAGTTATGTAACCAGGTCCAGCCGGAGAGAGAGGAACGAAGAGAGAGAGGAACACGTGAGAGGCAAGGTTGGATTCCCGTGAGAAGAAAGAAACCAAAAACCATGCCCATACCATACATGAACTATGTAGGAACAAGATTAACGTTACATTATTTCACGAGCCACACTTTTTTTTTTCATCATATGTCAATTCTACTCTTGTTTTAATCCTCCTCTACCACAATATATTCGGATCAAGAAAAATGAAAATATTCAACTTATATCTATTTTCCTTTTATCCATCCATTAGATACTTATAACTTAGTATTCTTTTATTTAAAATTTAAAATAAAAAAGTCTCTTCCTTTGTTTCCCGTTTTTGAGTGGGTGACCAATAGATGATTGTAAAATCTTGGGTGTGTGTCAATCATTGTTTGAAAGAAAATACCAGGTTCTAGAAGCAATATTTATTTACTGCAAAAGAAACAGCCGTGTAATGAATGTATTTGTATTTAAAATTGTTATGTAATAAGAAATAATAGACACGCGTCTCAATCACAATAAAGGGTCATGTAAGAATATTCTTATAAATCCCACATTTTCATATGTAATGTCATGTCTTTCACTCAGTTGGGTACAACGTGTGATAATAAAATAAAATAAAATAATCATGTAATTATCGAGTAATACAAGCAAGTTAACTCTTACTCAACAACATATAAAAAAAAAAACAGCGTATAAAAAAATATCCATAATTACTTCAAATTGAACTTTTTTTTTAACATTCAGTATTTAAAATTAAGATAAATCATAATCTGATTCTAAAATCCAAATAAATAAAGATATTTTTTTTATTGCTGTATACAGAGCAACTGTGTACAGTGGCAAAAATATTAAATAAACAGTCAAAGTCTTAAATATTAGAAGATTTAATATTTTGTATTTAGACCACATAAATAATAATCCACTTAATAAATTTAAATTACTATATCAACCTTACTTCACATAATTTCTCTGTACAAATCCAACCTTACTTCTATTCTTATTATCTTGATTACACTAAATGAAATCAATCTAAATTATTTTTCAATTCTTATTATTATATCATCAATTTCAAATATATATATATATATATATAATAAAAAATTCCATATTTGTAAAGAAGAAAAAATAAATATGTGTTAATAGAAACAAATAATTAAAACAACATAAATTTAGAAGAAAAAAAACGTGAAA